AGGATTGGACTCCAATCGGTTTAAAGTGTCCGTCACCGACCGTAAACCCACGTGGAGCGCCCGGGGACGTCCGATACGAACACCGTGGAGTCCGGCAGCCGGCTGTGGTCACTGGAGGGCCAGCTCTCGTGGGTGCTGTTGCCATGACGGACGGACTGACAGTCTCTGACGTGGCGGTGAGAGTGGGAGGGGCCGTGGCCGTGGGCGTACGGCAGCAGGACGTCATCGTTCATAGAGACCCTACGAGGAGAGGGAACAAGCACCTTTACAAAATGTCCCAAAAACAAGACGAACAGAGGAAGAAAGGAACGGCTGTGTTGGTTCTGTTGTTGTGGTTGTGTGTTTATTGTGTCACACTGATGCTGACTGTTCATGCTTTGTGTGTTTCAGTGAGTCCAACAACGTATAGATATTTGTTTTGTATGCGCTTCCTTCAAATGTAGTATAAGGGCGTCCACAATTATGTTCCTATTAACATTAACATTTTCTTTTAGTTACTGTTCTGCATTTACAGGACACCTGTCAAAATAAAGGCACCAAAAGCCCCAAAAACAGATTTACAAAATAAAATAGAGACCTGGGTTCCCCCTTTCCTACCAAAATAAAAGGGCACCGAAAAGCCCCCAAACAAATAGATTTACAAAATAAAACAGAGAACCCGGGTTCCCCCTTTAACTACCAAAATAAAGGCACGAAAAGCCCCAAAATTAGATTTACAAAATAAAAGAGACCTGGGTTCCCCCTTTCCTACAAAATAAAGGCACGAAAAGCCCCAAAAATTAGATTTACAAAAATAAAATAGAGACCTGGGTTCCCCCTTTCCTACCAAAATAAAAGCACCAACCCCCCAAATGATGTTTAAAATAAAATATCTGTGTCAGACTGATTGTAAATGTTTCACAGTCTCTTTGAACCATGTTTGTGCTTCAGGCTTTGTTGAATGCATAATCCAACAGCGCCACCTTGTGGCTAACAGCCGCACTTTGTACAGAAACTGACAGTGAAGGATGAAACTACAACGACGACTACAAGTGTTCAAATTCAGCGTTCAAATCATGAACACACAGCAACAATTAAACACACTGAATGCTGACAATGTGAGCTAATATATGTTGAAGTGATTTCAAATATTGCAGTTAATTATTTGTATGTTTTAGGGAAATGAGGGAAGTGAAAGTCCTCATTGTGTTTCAGTCTGTTAAATTAGTGAACTTTGAGTTTAAATACTGGATGTTGTTGCTCAACAGCTGGAAGCTTCAGTTAGCAGCAAGTGTCAATAAAGGTGAGCTACATTTAACCAAAGAAATAATCATTAGATATGTCAAATTAACCAGCTAATTTAACTGTTTGAACGAGGAAGCGAAACAAGTTTAAACGGACTTCTCTCAATCTAGCAGGCTAGCATTAGCATCCAGCTACCTCCGGAAGCGGCGGTCTTACCGGGTGTTTGTGGTGTCTGACGGCCGGACGCAGAGCCCCAGCAGCAGCCACACAAAGGGACATTTCACCGACACTGCGGCCATGTGAGGAGGGAAACTATCCTGCCAAAGTCCCCTCTGCTCCCGCTGCTGCTCGCATCATCCAGCTAGCACACCGCAGCAAAGGAAACCAACAAAGTAAAAGCACCACTTACTGTTGCTCTACAAAATAAAAGCCACAATCAGCTGCTTTATTTACACATTTGGATTTGTAGAGAAAAGCCTTCAAAAGCTCATTTCTGAGGCTGAATTAACGCAGTTTATTGTTTGAATAGTGAGTCCAATGTGTTCAAATACCAAATAACCTTTTAAATTCAGTTGTCAAAGTATGGAAGTCAGAAGTTTGACAAATGGTTTAAACTATAGTGCGATAATGAATTTGACTTCTCTCATCGGACTCAAAATGTATATACATATATATATATATATGTTTTTAAATCATTTTGGGTTCATCAACTGACAGAAAAGTGTAGCTCTGTTTGTTTGTTTGCTGTGTTGACGTACAGTGCTGCTGCAAACTATTGACAGCGTATATAAACAAACAAAAAGTCAACAAATAAAGCAAACTAAATCAACATTTAACTACATCATTCAGTAGTTGTTGTCAACGGTTTGTTTGTGTATGAAAACACTTTATTTTGGAGGTTAAAGCAGGTTCCAGTGCTGTGTTTGCAGTTTCCACAGTTTACCCATTTATATTATGACATGTTATTTATATTGAATTCATTATTTAAAAGAATAATACATCTAAAGCTAAACAATGTAAAGTATTTAATGTCCTTTTGATGCTTGGTAAGATCTTCAACTGGAGATAGATTTCCCTGCATCCCTTTGTTTGTTTGTTTGTTGACTTTTGGTATTAAGACATATCAGATGAAAACATATAATAAATATATAAACGCTGTCTTGTTACGTTGATTTCTTTTCAATCATAGAATATTCTTTCCAGATTATACTTTTATTTTGAAAGAAATATGAACATTTTCCGGTGTGTTTGACGTAATGTAGTAACTTGACGTAGGGCGGTCACATGACTGCCAGCAGCTGGCTGACAGCCACGTGTGTACTGACACAGAGGATGTTAGAAACAGATGTGTCTTTTATTTTACACAGTATGAAATTCAATTCAATCAAACGTCAAACTCAACAACAACATATTCATAGAAAGAGTTCTGGAGTGGAAACATATCAAAAACTAAACTCTATTTGTCCACTTTGTTCAGCC